AGTGATGCACGCTGAATGCTTCAGATTACTGCACTTCCAAAAAATGTCTTATTTTTAGTAAAATTCTTTATGCGCATAAAATAATTGCGGTATCAAACATGGATTTTGTTTATGGCATCTATCTATCATCATACATCTCTCTTGTATATTATGTTCTCATTACAACAATCACACTTATCAACAAACATGCATTTTCCATAACATGCACTGTCTTACATGTTAAAGTTTTGTTATAAACGTCCTTATGAAAATAAATTGTATCGCCGAAGAAATCATAGATCAGGTATATGAAGTTGAGATTCACTTATCTCCGTAGTTGGGACTACTAGGTCCGAACACCGATCTGAGTATATGGTTTGCCTGTCTCATGGCATTAATATTTACCTCTATCGTATGATAAACCAAATTGACCGTATTTGCAGATGTTTGCCTCCTTAGACTTCGCAGACAGTTATTGGGCCTTTGAATTCTGCAAAGAATACGCATAATACCTTTTGGTGGATGTTATAGTGGTATTCTCCGTTAATCAATGATAGTCTGGCACAATTATATAAAGACTTGAATAACACTATTAAGTGGTAAATGTATGACACAAACTATATCAACTGGAAACATAATTGAATGTTCCATATTAATTATATTAATAAGCATTATACGAAATCTCATATTTCATTAATGCAGTGTATTAGAAGGGAGACAACCCTGGTATGTCATTGTGTTCATATTTTATTCTAGTCATCTCCCTTTACAAGTCCGGTGTCTTCTGTTAAAAAATATTTTCAATTTATTTCCATCATAAAGTTTAGTTTAAAAACTTATACATTTTGAATGCATGTTTTACAATGTAAATATCATGTTTATGTTCACGTCATATTAAAAGTTTTGTAATTCTCAGATATATACGGTGGCACAAAGGTGACATGTGTGTATTTTACGGAATACCGTTAGGGCCATGCGATGGCGACAATGCGATAACGCGATAGTACGATGACGACAATGCGATAGTGTTATCGCACTGTCGCCATCGCACTGTCGCATTGTCGTCATCGCACTATCGTATTGTCGTCATTGCACTGTCGCACTGTCGCATTGTCGTCATCGTATTGTCGTCATTGCACTGTCGCACTGTCGCATTGTTGTCATCGCATTATCGCACTGTCGCCATCGCATTGTCGCACTGTCGTCATCGCGTTATCGCAATGTCGACTATCGCCTTCTGGTGGACGGTTCTAAACTGCTGGCGAATAAGCTGACGGTATAGAATATGGGATGATTTTACTTTTGTCAATAATATTTTTCTTCTAGTTTTTTCTTTTCCTTTTAATTATTTTTTGTTTGTTTCTTTTCTGAATAATAATAATGTTTAATTAAAATTATAAATTATTGATAAAAAACATTTTATATATAAATACTGAAAGAGTTATACATAGACGGAAAATGTAATAAATTGTGTGAAACTTTAATATGCAATGTAATAGAAATATTTCAGATGAAAATGATCTTATGTTGACATTAAAAAGATGCAAAAAAAAAATCATTCTTTATTACTTGTATAAAAAAGACAAACAAATTATATTGATAGATCGTCATCAGTGGTTTTATTGTTTTGTAAGATGTATAATTTATTATATTACTAGCATTGTAAATAAAGATACATGTAATTAGAAATTTACGTCAACGCATAATTTTTTCTATATATCTAACATAAGTGGTCAACAATTTTCACTATAAGATTAACTTAACAGCAGATCCTACTATATAGACCTTTTTACGACGCGGTCCGTTGCTATGAAAAATCGACCGGAATTAGAATTTTCTCGCGCATGCGCAATCTGCGTAGGGCAAGAAATCCTTCGCCCTACATAGAAATATAGTAAAAGTTCATAGACAATTCCGAGTTAGTTCAAGGTAAACGGTAGAAAATTATATAAAATAGCTTTTAACAAATATAGAAAAGATGACTTTATAGCTTTGTGGCGAAGAATGCCATAAAAAGGCATGAAAAAGATACTTGTTTAAGAATTTACGATCACGGAACTGACACTGAGATCATTTTTTTTAAAGAAGATGTGGAAATATATCTATTAGCAAATGAAACGTCAACTTATTTGCTGTTGAAATAGTTCATTTAAAAACAAAAGAAATTATATAACATGAAATGGAGATAAATTATCATTCAGAAAAATATCAGAACAGGTGATAATGCATTTTTAGTGTTCAATATACCTGATTTTATGCTTTATCCGATTTGCCTGTGATGCAAACAGAAAAATTTAAGTCACATAAATAGATTTTAAATAATTGATTTTTTTTTCAAAATCTTTAGATGTTAAGATGGGTTGTTTGGAAAAGATATCACACACAATTTATCCGCTTCTTCGTAATACATGTTATTTTTAATAATGCATGTGACACAAGTTTTCTCTTCTCAAAATCCATAAACATTGATCGGTATATTTAAAAGTTACATAAATTACCATTTTAATAAGCGTAACTGATTAACTATATCATGATATTTAAACGTCCCGGTTCAATGAACAAACGTTCGGGTGCCAATCTGTTTGACACTTGCCGCCTGACCAATCCAGTTATTTAAAGGAAGTGTACAATACAAATTGTGTAATATTATGTAATACAGGGGTAATAAAATTTTATCTTTAACACCCTGCTGTTTCAATTTAAATTACTGATGGAAAGGTCGTCTAATGATACCTTAAACAAAGATATGTGTGTGCCCGTTTTGACCATTGAATTATTACTCCCGCACATTTTCGTGGATCTCTTAAAAATTAAATTCACGTTTTCTGTACTTACCGCCTTAAGTCATCCCAAAATTAATATTTTTTGGGTGACATAACATGAAACAGCATCTATTAAAGCCTTAAAGTATCATAAACTGTAGACATCGTTATTGCTTTCTGCCCTACGCAGAATGCGCATGCGCGAAATGCAACATTCGTTGCTATGGAAAATCGTATTGTAAAAAGGTCTATAAGTTTAACTGGTCAGCATATTGTACTATAGCCAACTGATTCCGCTAGTGAGAAATTGTGTTTCAATGTTGAAAAAACACATCTATCCATTATATTTAATCCGGAAAAATTCTTACTGTTTATTTTTGTTGTTCTTTGATGTTGTTTTTTAAGGGAATCATGCAAAGTTCGAATTACCAACAACCTGCCGGTAGGTAGTGGGGCATTGAGTAACCAACTATATACTATCAAATTGACGCTTCTTTAGATTTTTATCAATATCTAAGATGGAGCCATTTTTGGTGCTTGGTGAACATAGCGCTTTTATATTTCTTAAAAATAGGATAGTAAATAAATATGATTAAATAAAAAAAACATTAAAGATATACTAGATTTCTGTGTCCACTTGTTTTATATATAGCCAAAGTAATTTTAGCACAACCTTGAGAAACTGCTTATGAACAAAGGAAAATGATATTTGCAGTGAAGTACTAATTTATTTTGCAATGTTAGTAAAAATTGCCATATTTTCTTCTTATACTTTATGGTCAGCAGACTTAACTGTAGATATACAATTACACAATTACTTCCCATTTCTTTAGTATATTCAAACGATTACTTTATTTTTTAACGAAATTGGTTCCAATCATTGAATGCATTTATTTGTATGTTGGTAATATGACGTCCTGTGGAAAAAGTAAACATTAAACTTTAGCTTTATAGTGCAGAACAATAACAACAGCAACATTGGAAATGTTTTCAAAACGTTTATTTTCTAACAATAAAAAAACTTGCAACACAAATCTATCGCTACATGTAACAAAACAACAATCCATAACAAAACACATGACTTGTATAAACCAAGAAACCTCCAATAACATGTACATATAATACTTGTACCCTTATTATCTTTGACAATAGAAGGAAAAGGGTTGATTTTTTAAACTTGTTAGAAGCTTTTCATACCGTTATTTACGATATTATGAATGATGTAAATTAGTGTTTTCATAAAGTTATATTATACAAATTATATCTACCCCCCCCCCCCCTAGAGTGTGCAGTGGATGAATATCACTTGTAAAAACTAAAGTCGATTTATTACCTTGCTTAAATGCTCAGCAAATTAATACCAAATTAAAAAATATATTCATTACAGTTCCAACAAATTAATTTTAACTGGTCCAAATGGCCTAATACTAGTACATGAATGCCAAGTAAAGTTTCTTCCATCCGGTCCTGAGTTATATACATGATACAGAGTCTTTCAACATTTATCTTCTGGTTATTATACAAACCTGTCATGCATGAGTATATTGAATAAACCTTTGGTTCTAAACTTTGAACAGAAGCTTTAAGCATTCACAAAGTCTTCTAAATCCATATTATTCCGAAATAAATTTCATGATCATTTAAAAGAGGCTTTACATATTTTTTACCTGCCTAGTGCCAACCATATACAAACTGGCATCATGGAAACAAAGATATTTTAAAGCTTGCTCATGATAATTTGGTGTGGTATTCATGTTAAAAATCCGCCAGCAGATATTTATTAAGAGAACAAAACCAAACTACCAAGAAGATTTTTACTGCTTATCGATATACACATATATTTATATAAGTATCTCATTGGTCAACATGTTGTATATTAAACATATCTGTATCTTAAGCAGTGTGTCTCCAGATTCATGCTAATTTTCATGAAAATTTGGAAAATCAATTTTAAAAGAAAAATCTTTTGTGAAGTGAACAAATGAAGGTAATTTACGCATTGCAAACGGCACTTACAAACCAATCCATGTAAATTACCAAACTTGCAAACGAAACTTACAATCCACGTATATAACCGCCACCCCCCACCACCCCCCCAAAAAAAAAGTGGTCAAATTATGCAAAAAATAGCCCTAGCCGCGTTAGTAACGCAGTAGAAATATGGTGATAAATAGTGCAAAACCAGTCATGAATGGCACGTAAATTATTACTTGAATCTTGGACCATTTCACTTTTCTTAATATCTTAGTACATTTTTCCTTGAAATATTTTGGGTTCATCTGAAAGCATGCAACTTTAAAATTGTCATTGTAAAATGATAACGAATATATCTCACTGAGAAGTTATATTGAATATATATCATAAAGTAAAGAGGATCGCACTGAAGAGTAAAAATGAATAAAACGAAAACAAGTTATGCGATACAGTCTCTAGGGCAAGCTGCGAAATTGAAAATAAAAATGAAGTCTACATTTTCTATATATCAAGTGACAGTTGATTGAGAAAAAAAAATAATTTCATCACAGTGAATGATTAACAATGAGTTTTATAAATAGAATCTAGATCTGTTTTTTTAATTGGTTAACATAAATTCGGTATTGTGAGTTTCCAACACACAGATCTCGTCGATATTTCTAAAGACTAAAATAAATATTATATATTAAATAACTAAATAAATAAATAAAATGACTAAGTTTGTTAAGAAGTAACAAATCATTATAAAACAATAGCATTTGGTAAGTAAAAAAAATACTACTTCATTATCAGAAAAGATATTAACATTTCACCAATTTTAACAGTATTTCAACAACATTTCTTTATTCCATGTGACAAATAAAAAAAGAAAGATTGAACCAAGACCCAACAGTACATATCTAAGTCAGAGCACTATTTTTTTTATAATAATAAAGAAAAAATAACCAATAAATAAAAAGTACTGCTATTTATTCGGAAGACTTTTCTTCCTTTATGAACTGAATGTTATATGAATTTGTGAAACATTTCCGGAAAAAATGACACCTTCATATAACGACTTTATGATACGGTCGCACATGTATTATACATTCTAGTGTCAAAATGGTCAAAAACTCACCAGAGTAGTGAAAAGTGATACATTTTAAGTTATAATAAAAATAGATCAGAGGTTAAGTTTGACGATTTTTGTCATTCTTGCTAGCAACCAACGAGTTATGGTTCTTTCACTATATAGCACATTACTAGACAAGTAGTTCTATAAATGATAAAAAAAACATGTAATGCTGAAAATAAATGCATGTAATTGTACGAGGACAGAGGTAGTAGAAAGTACTTCAACCATAAATGCTTGTAATATAACATTGCTAAATTCAATTAAAAACGTTATGGTTTAATTCCATAGACGACTTGATACTGTCCGAATTTATCCGAAAGAAAATTGTAACACGAAGTTTCACGGAAATGTCCAATTCATATTTTGAGTCGCTGTTTCATATCTAATTAATGTACCTTTAATAACCTTACGGCACAATCTTTGATTACCTTACCGCACGAGGGGTACTGTTAGGTGTGATATATAAAGACAATTTTCGGATTGCTGGCCTTCTCACCTTTTCAGTTTCCATTTCGAGTTTTATAACATTTTTATTTCCATTTGTTACCTGGAGACTACTTACCGTTGTGTTTAGCAACTGAGATGATGTTTTAATAGAATGATCGCCTTTTAAAGGAAAAAGTCTTCGCTCTATATTCCTTGAATAAGAATTCATTTCAAATGCTTTGAAAGGTTGTTTAGTTTGTATCAAATTGATTTTTCGTCCAATCGGCCATATACTCCTAAATCCATGGTGATGTGTTGTTAATGCGGTTTTATTAGGATACAGTTCATCTGCGTTTGCCAGCGGTTCAACTACTAAGACGTCCCGCTTTTTGTCGTTTTCATATCTCGAGGAGGTGTAAGGCAAGGAGGCGGTTTGAGGCCGTTTAATTTGCTTTCTTTCTCCAGTCACTGTCAAAGAAGGGGAGCAAGACCTACGTAAAGGCGTGGCTGATTTGGCTCGTTTTCTGTCCCGCGGTTCCCTTTTATGACTTAGTCTTTCAAACTCATCGGTTTCTAAATCTAAACTAAACCTTTTCTCACAAGGACTAAACAATTTTCTTCCTATTGGTGACCTTGGCCTAGTTAATGGCCTCATTGGCCACTTTTGTCTATCCGTTTTATTCTGTAGATTTTGATGTGAATGCACACGTTCACTTATGTCTATAACACCAACAGTTTTTGCTAATTGTTTTTGTTCTTCTCGTCTGCTGGATCGTGCACTGTTAACACGCTCTTTGAATTGTCTCATAGATTTAATGTCTGCTTTTGGTGGTTCTGTGCACCTTAGATCTATATCAATATGTGAGCAATTTATGCCATTAACAGAGGGCCTAGCTGTCATCGGACGCTCCAGTTTACTTTTATAAATGGTTAAAGATGGTGTGATATAAGAACGCTGAATTATTGCTTGTTCTAGAATGTGCGCTCTATTTATTCGTTCTGCCGCTATTCGTTTAAGCTCCTCCTCTCTTTCGATTTCCTCTTGCGTCGGTAACTTAGGCTTAATTTCAATATATGTCTGCTCATTTACAAAGTTTATAACTCTTTCCGTCGTATAATCTTCGTCATCACTTTCTTGTGGAAGCCTTTCATCAGATTCAAGGTCAAGTTTCAAAAGAGAATCTGACGACGAGACACGTGATAACGATTCATGCACGTGCAATGGATCCACCATATCCTCGTCATCTTCGTTACCACTGTAAATCGCTTCAGACAAAGATTTTTGTCGCTTTCTTGATTTTTTCTCCTCTTCATCAACTTCAGAGATATCAAAAGCATCTGGCTGCTCGCGAATTTCTGAACAATTCACAGAATCCATGGTTTCTATACCCGAATCCCCAAAACTGTCTGTTATTTTAGTTTTCAAAGATGCAGACGAACTCTGCCTTGAGAAAAGTTTTCGTTTACTTTCTAAAGCACTAATAAATTTACCCTCAGAGCTACTCTTTAAATTCTCATTTTCTTCATTGTTTACTATTCCATAATTAGAGTGTTCATCTTCTTCCCGAATAGCATCTAGTAACTGTCCAGCGCCCTCTGTTGGTGAAGATGTTTTAATTTCCTCTATATCGCTATGCCCTTCTGCCTCTGTAATCGATTCAACATTGATAGCTATTTCATTTTGTGTCGGCTTTTCTTGGTCCGATTCCTCAAAAACTTCATCAACGACTGACGATTCTGACGCTGGTCTTGATGTCTGAAATGGTATTAACATGTTTGACATACTAGTGACCATGATGAAACACACACCATCAGCCAGCATTCCTTTCCTGGGTCTGATTATGCCTTTTTTACCATTGGTACGAGAGATGCTCAATTTCATAATTTAAATTTTAAAAATATTTGTTTAAGCTCGATTGTAAAGCAAGTTTTGATCTAGTACTTGAAACTTAAATTGATCATTTTCCAGTCCGCATCCTGCATAATGTCATAAAGAATATAGAGTAGGGTTCGAACTCTCGGTCTTTGGGTTGAGACAAGCATCACCCCCTGAATAATATTTTTTTTTACTTTGACATTAAATTCTTCAAAATAACAATGAACAGATTGGAAATTCTATATAGGACCAATTTTATAAACTCGGCAAGGTAAGGGTTCAAAGAACTCCCAGAATAGAAAACAAAGACACTGGCCTATAGAATATAACTTGAAAGCACTATCAGTTCAATGTTTAGAAACATGTTGCTTCAATGCTTCAATCAAAGGAGGAAAACTTTTAATTTCAAGTTTTTACTATCTTTGGGGGAAAAAATGAGGAAAATTATATTTTAGGACTTCAAATAAATATGAATGTTTTACCGTGCTCGGTTTGGCTAGACTCATATAACCCCATAGCATTGACTGTCTTCTCTTTTTCAGAAGCGCTTTTTCTTCTTCCGACAATTCTGGAGCGCTCTCAGATTTATTTTTCTCTGATTCGCTGGACTGACTATCTGTCACCGGTTTTTCAGACTCAACAGCGCTGTCTACGGCATCTACCACTGCCTCAGTATTCTCGTCTGCATTCTTTTCTGTCACTTCCGGTTGACTATTTCCGGTAGAATTGGTTTCCGGTTGCTGCAACTTTAAAGCTTTTGCTGCCGGTGATAGTATAAGATCTTCGTTGCCCGATTGTGGAAGCAGGAACTTTTTAAAATCTGCAATGTAATTTTATGTGTTTCTGTTTCTTTGTGTAAAACGTGTTATAATATTTATCGCTGAAAATACTGCACACGATTACAACATGGATGATATATACTTCCCTATATATAGCGAATATAGAATATATCTCAATGCTACTGTAAATATGGTAAAATATAATATCCTCTCCCTATCTTTAAAATTTAATTTTTTTTTTCAATTAAAAAAAAATCCGGTAATTTACGGTGTTTGACTTTTACACAGATAGCCTTAAAAGTCTTAATTAAAATCCGAGATACTTTTACAGTTT